GAGGAGGAGTAATAGGGGCGTTAGAACAAAGCGTATGTTTTATAAAGGTAGATTATATCATTATCACTAAGCCCTGTTATAAAATTTCCATCATTTTTCCAAGCTACCTCTAATGACTGAGGCTAAATTGTAAAAGTAATATTCATAAAAGTTTCATAGGAATTATAATCGAATAATAATTACTCAATTTATTTTGATTCATTTGTAACTCCGATAAAATACAAACTCTTACCGTCTTTATTGTTGAATAATTAGGCCAAGGAAAATTTTTGATTTTTGATTCGAACTTTCTTAAAATTGGTTAATTATATTTTCTAACTTACTTATTCACTGTATATTTTAGCAATTTGTCTTAATGCCTAAAAGATTGATTCATCTATTTCACAGCCATAATATATCTAAACTGATAGAAATTTTTTAGTAAATACTAGAATAAATTTGAAATCATCAAATATATATGAATATTCGGAAATTATACAAAAACTTAAAAATATTTTAATTTCTTTAAAAATTGTAATAAAAATTTTCAGAAATAAATAGCAATTAAAATATGAAGATATTGGGTTTGAGAAGAATTAAGAATAAAAATTTGCAATTTCAGTACTTTGTTAATGAAAAACATATGGTTCTGAGTTTTTTCTGAAATTAAGGTATTTGGGTAATATAGGAAATAGTATCACTTTCATAAAACAATTATTGTTCTGATTTTAGAAATAAAATATAATTGTTATTCATATTAACTAAATGTTGATTATTTACAAAGCTTGAACTTTTCTTTTAAATTAACAAAATAAATTCATGTTTTAAAGATTTAAGTGTTGCAATATGAGATTTTATAATTATTATTTATTTCCTATTTATTCATCTTCAACCTATTCTGTAAATATAATTAAATTAACTGACTTTCAGAAATCTTCTTTTTCATTAATCTATTTATGTATTCTTGATATGATACAGTTCATTTTAAATCCCATTTCTTATAGGGTTTCAAAACGTTAGATTAAGTTATAGAAATCTGTTGATTTTGTAGAAAAAAAGCAAGAGCATTAGTAGCATCTATTGTTACACTTCTTGGAAATAATTATCTCATAATCTACCTATTTTATTCCATAAAAAGCAGGATTATTAAGAGCTAATTTTTGAATGAATGTGAAATATTGATAATCTAATATAGGATAAGCGAGGATCATTCTCTATGGCTTCAAGTTATAATATAACTAGATTAGATTTTCTTTAGCTGAAAATTTTTATCAGAAGCTTTATTCAATCAAATCAATACTTGAACTATTTGCAAGTCACTTATAAAAAAAAGCACTATTCGGGTTATTATTTTTCTCTTGTTGTAGGCAAAGGCAAGAAATATGTCTAAATTTATTTATGTATTTCTCCGACTTTAAATCATATGTTATTTTGAATTTATATAATTAATTACATAAACTTAAATATCTGATGCATATATCAATAGAAATTGAAGAAAAAATTTATTAAGTCCACAAATTAGAGATTGTAGGATTTGAAATAAGAAACTAGAATTGATGACAAATATTTATGCACTAGGTGTCTAGCTGAGAGAGTCGAAAAAGAAAACATGACATTGCATAATGAAGCTACAGAGATGATATAAAGCATGAAAATCTAATCTTTAAAACTTGCAAAGGAAGAAAATGTCCTTAGATTAACTAATTTCAAATTCTACCAAAAAATTATATAGGAAATTTTAGTTATAATATACCTAAACAGCAAACATATAAGGAAAAAGACATGGCCCTTGTGTAATTAATCTATGAATCATTATAATCTCAGTCAAAATCATAACATTATATCTAAATAATAGAATCCATAGATTTAATTAGATTTAGTGTACTAATCAATTAATAGGCAAAAATCAATGATATATCTGCCAAAGAATTTGATTAACATGTAATTTATTGTTTTAATATTAGAAAACTCCTTGTCTTAATTAAATATGCAATAAACATAATAAAGAAATTTTATGCTGAATGTTAATCATACTGAACCTAAATTTGGTCGATTGGCATGTGTAGAATGTATTGAAGAAAATCCTTTTCAATATATTAGTTTAAAAGAAGCAAATAATATGTGGAATACTTTTATAGGATAATCAGAAGATTTAATTTCAGAAGAGAAAAAACATTTAAAATGGTTATAGAAGAAATTAAATAACTAAAAGATAATTATAATAATTCATCAGAAATGTTGTCTTCAAAAGATGAATAGCTAATTAAAAATAATAAAGAGTTTTTAGACTTCCTTAAATTAGAAAATAAATACATTTTTATTTAGATGAAAAATCAATTGAGAAAATGATTGATTTATTAAGTTAATAAGATAAAAATATTCTATAGTAATATAAGAAGCAAGATAGACTTGATAAATTATTTTATCAAAATGTCAAATCCAAATTAGAAACCCTTATCAAGCATGATTTACTTTGCAAGTAATAATTGATGAAAATTTTATAAGATTAATAAGGTAAACTTAATTGATTTAATTTTAGATAATTCAGACCTATGAAATAAAGCTGATATTCAAAATACTCCTGAAATACTTGAGTTTATATCTAAATGTTAATTGTAGGAATAATGCTTATAAATTTAGAATGAATCAGTTGATTTACAAATAGAATTATAGAAAGAAGCGTAATAGCTT